AAGATAAAAAAATAAACTAACTAGCTGACGCCTCATACATACAGTAAGTGCTTTAGTTCAAAAAAGTAAATTTTTTTGCACAAAATGAAAGATTTCTATTCGCTAAGAAAGTGGCTTGCCAGTGTTAGCCGGATCACTCCACATTTAAACCTCTCAACATTAAAATTGTTATAGAAGTTGTTTTTTTTTAAAGGAATCAAATCCAAACGTTAACCAAATAAAAACATCCAGTGGAAGTCCAGGTTCTCATTTAAGTTGATGACATGTTTTTATTGGTGTTGGGTGTTATATTTGGAGCCGGTCGGCACTCAATCCAACATTCATCCATTTTCCCGTTGTCTTATGACAATTCGTCCCAGTTTTTATGTTTTCAGTTTAAAGAGTGAGTCTCTAATTTTGAGATTAAGGTCCTGTACCACATGAAACAGGCAAATTATTTATTTATCTTTATTTCTACTTCTATGGGGTACTTGGACCCAGCAATGTAATGCAAATCCATTTTTAAGAAACCAATTCAGCTTACATACAAACACAACATGTAAATGGTTTCATGCAAAGCACGTGCAATAACATGGAGCGTTTGCGAAAAGTGAATCAAGAGAACATTAAAGACGAGATAAAAGAAATAGGAAGCTCTAGGATATTTCCTTTTCAATTAGTTTTACAGCTAAACTGCATGCTCTGAGTGTGATGAGTCAGCTCTTGCAGAGGAGATAATCAGTGTGCTTTAGTTTCCTACTACAAGGGGATTAAAACTAATAAACCACAGATGGAGGAGACCGGAGACAGCGATTAAAGAATTCATACCCAAACTCTGATGTGTCTTTACCTGCGCTGTCACTCCAAACTGTGCAGGGGGTTAATTAAATGTTGCCAGTTTATTAGATTCTTAACCCACAATATGTTTTCCACCTACACTTCCCTTCATCTCTGTTACCTTTGTGCTATTCATGACCCATCTTTTCTCCCATTGGCTGCCTTCATCTCACTCCTCTTTCTTTCCTTACTCTCACCTCCCTAGTGATTTTTTTTGCATTTAAATTTACCCTTTAACTTCAATATTCCTGCAAACCCACCTCCTCTCCCATCGCAAGATAGCTCTTCCACTTATCTAACCTCTTGTCATTTTCTTCTCTTCCCTGCTTTTCTTTTACCTCTTCTGTTACCTCCCAGAGCTACAGTTCCTGGTAGAGCACCACCTGTACAGGCAGCAGCAGGGAGCTGGGGACGAATGCTCCTCAGAGAGCTGCCTGTCAGACCGGCCCAGCCCCGACTCGGTGCCCACGGGAGAGGAGCTCCCCCACGACGATGAGGCCACTGCAGAGGCCTTTGAGAAACTGCGTTGCCAAATGGAGGGTATGTGCGGAGGCTGTCAAGCAGGATTTAATTTGTGTGCTTGCAGCTGCTTATTCAGCAACAGATGCA